ATATATATATATATATCACAAACATAAGGGAAAGTGGAAGAGAAATAAATAGGAAGTAGGAAGAAGTTCAAATACTTCCCCAAATTCCAAATTCCAAAATATTTCAATGTATATGTTAATTGGTTTCATTTTTATTACTAGTTTTAGTTCATTGCTGAGCAAGTTTTATGTTATTCGTTCCTTTTTTGTAAGAATTATTTTTGTTCCTGTCTTGTACTAAGTAACCTACTTTGAGGATAACAATACAAAGTATAATACCTGTTGATTTTCTCTTACTATTTGATTATGAAATTTGGGGTTTTTTTTTTTTTCCATAAAAAGATGGCTCTTTTCCAGGGGCTAGAACATGGGGGCTGGTGGCCAGCCCGCTTAGGTAGCTGGAGCTTGAGACCCTGTGTCACAGGTGCCCTGAGTGACTGAAAAGTGTGCAGGGCTGGCAGAGCTGGAAGGAGAGCAATGCTTGGTCCAGGTCCAGGCCCAGGCAAGGGGTGGGACCGGCAGGTGGCAGGGGGAGGACTTCGTGGGCAGACAGAAGCAACAGGCACCCTGAGCAAGGGCGGCCGGAACTGCCTGCCGTGTTCTGGGCAGGCCCAGGGACTCGGCCAGGCACACGGAGGGGCGCATCGCTGAAGGGAGGCCAGGGGAGGAAGAAGGAAGCAGCAGCCACGCACCAAGTTAAAGCCAGAAGCCTCGGCCGTCCCAGTGGCCTCTTCGCGCCGGGCAGGCTGCAGCCCCTCCCCTCCCCTCAGCTCCTGAGCCCCAGTCCTCCCACCCCTGAAAGGAGAATTGCCTACTTACTTACCAGAAAGTGACTTTGGAGGACTAAGTCACTAGACAAACTTCGTGGAACAGTCTAACGGTATCTGGAAGCCTGTGAGGGTGTTGAGCAGGAGCCCGAAGACTCTGCAAGATGCTAATTTAGGAAGATCACCCTGTGACCATGGCCGAGGAAGCCTGTCGGCAGCCGCAGTGCCCTGTCAGAGGTGGTGAAAGGCTAACCACAAGAGGAAGCAGTGGAGAGAAAGAACAAGAGAGGTGTGGCATGCGAGGGCTCTGGGCTCTTTGGCCACCCAAATGCAGCAGCCAGGGCAGCATGGTGAGGCAAAGCTGGGTCCTGGGAAAGCAGAGGCTGACCTGGGGGATGGGGACAGGACCGGAGTGCACTCCTGCCCAAGGAGGGGTGGTGGTCTGTGCCTCCAGGAGGGGTCAACAGGCTTCTGGCAATAGCCAAGGGGCCCTGGGTGCTGCAGCTGGGTCCTCTGTGCAGGTGGCAGTGGAGGCCCCGGGACAGAAGAGGCCGCTGGGGGTGAGGGGTGCACAGAAGAGCAGTTGGAAAGCAGCAGGGTTGGGTGGATTTGGTGGCAGAGAAGGGAGTGGAGATTTCAAAAGCATCCGGGGGATGGCTGGGTGTATGAGTGCCACTCGAGGGTTACACTGCCACAGGCGGCAGCGATGGAAATTGTGGGTGCAGACTAGTCTTTGAAAGAGCCAGGCAGGGAAGAGAACAAAGTATGGGCGGCTAGCTGCAGGGGAGGGGGGTCAGAGAGGTTGGCTTTAGGCCAGGGAGATCTGAGCATGCTCACAGCCCCAGGGAGGAAGCAGCAGTAGAGAGATGAATCAGAGCGAGGAGAGGCCAAGAACAGACCTCCCCGCTCATCGAGCACCTGAGCAGCTCCTGACAGCTGGCTGGACACAGGCCTTGCCTGCTCACAGACCTGGACGGTCCCAAGGCTCTGCCCAAATCCCATCTCAGCCCAACACACAGCCAGTGTTTGCCAGCCACGCTGCACACAATTAAAGACTGTCTTCCCCGGCACCAGCTCACATCATCTGGCGGCACTGCCCGGCCCCCACCCTGACTCAGCCCACAAGGCGCCAGCCATGGGTTTCTTGGCTTCCCAGCACTGTCTGTAGCCAAAGAGGTGCCTCTGGGAAATCCACCTGCCACCCACCACCGCCTGAAGACCCTGGCTGGCTCGGCCAAGTGATGGCCATCTGAGCTCCTACCAGTGCACGCAGCCCACCCCTCCCGGCCAACACACACCCCTTCCCAGACTCCTCAGCACTGCCTCCCAGGGCAGGAAGCAGTGATCCTGTGCTTTCCCTCCCCTCACTGAACAGAAGGAGAAACTGAGGCAGGGGAGATCATGTGACTCCTACTGGAACTGAGGCAGCCTGGCATGCAGACTCCCTGATTCCCCCTTCACTCCTTCCCACCCCTCAAGCAGCACCTTTAATCACTTTTTTCACATTTCCAGGAGGAGTGAGGTCCTCAAGCCTGGGAGCAGAGCCAAGCATGGCTGTGTACACCTGTAATCCCCGCCCTCTGAGAGGCTGAGGCAGGAGGGTGGAAAGTTTGAGTCCAGCCCAGGCAAGTTAGTGACTTAAAACAACCCTGTCTCAAAAAAAAAATTTTTTTTTCAAAAGGCTGAAGATGAAATCCCTGGGTTCCGTCTCCAGTACTGCAGGGGGGTGGTGTGAAGGGAGGGAGGGAAGGAGGGAGAGACAGAGAGAGAGAGGGGGTGGGAGGAGGGAGGGAAGGAGAGAGACTGGGAGAAAGAAGGGAGGAAAACAGGACAGAAGTTCACAGCAGCATTATTCATAGCAGCCTAAAAGTAGAAATGACCAAAATGTTCACCAATTATTGTCACCAGATTAAATTCAGAACACCCAGTTAAAAAAATTTAACAGCTTTATTGAGATATAATTTACATATCGTAAAGTTCACCCATTTAAAGTGTACAACTCAATGGTTTTGAGTTCTATATTTAAAGAATAGTGCAACCTTCACCATAATTTCACTTGAGAACATTTTCTTCACCTCCCTCCAGAGCTGCACCCGGCAGCAGTCACCCAGGCGCAGGCAACCGCCAGTCTACTCTGCCTCCAAGGGTACCAGCGGACTCATGCAGCCTATGGTCCTCTGCGGCTGGCTCCCTGCAGCCAGCATAACGTCCTCAAGCTTCATCAGTATGTCATTCCTTTTAGCGGCTGAGCAAGACCGCACCCCTTGGACGTACCCCATTTTGTTTATCATCCTTCAGTGGACAGACATCTGTGCCATTTCTTCTTTTCAGCTATTATGAACAGTGCCTCTGTGAACAGTCACTGCTATGGAGTTTTTGTGCGGACATACATTCCATGGCGGGGGGTTTCTAGGTGGACCGACAGGGAAATCACAGGCCTGGCCTTCCTCTTATTTATCTCCTGTACCATCGTGTGGCCCGGAGGGAAGCGACCGGGTCCCCTTCTGCAGATTAAAGCACAGAGGCTCAGAGGGAGGCCCGGGACCATTAAGTACTAGGATTCCCGGTCCAGGATTCTTCCACTGCATCACAAGTCCATCTTGGGTGTTCGCAGTCCTCCTGCAGGACCGAAAGAAGAGGGACTGAGATGTAGCAGCCTCAGTGTGAACAATCACCTGGGTCCTCCCCAGTCCCGCTTAGGTGCTTTGTGGACCATGTCCCCGGTGTGACAGCTGAGACTGAATCCAGGGCTTCTTGGAAGAAGTGAGTTTTCACCTGGCTGGGTAAAAAGCTGACTGGGACAGAGCGAGCCTTCTCCTCGGCCAGCACCCTGGGCCCTGTGAGCCCTGTGAGCCCTGTGAGCCTGCTACAGAGCCTGCAGCAGTTTTCTCAGCAATTTCTCCAAGTGGAGGTCAAAAGCCAGCATGGAACACTAGGCCGTCACCCCTCCCATGTGGTCCTCCCGGCCACACAGCCAGATGCGGTACCTTCCCTCAGCTCGCCTGTTCCTGCCCTCATGCCCGGATCTTAAATGAGTCCCTTCAGAGCTGCCCCGTGTCCCAAATCCAGCACCGTCCTGGGAGAGCACTGAGCCAAAAAAAGATTTTACATTTTCCTGTGGCCAGAGCAGAGGATGACCCACGGCCGCACGCTCTGTGGCCTCAGGGGGTCCTAAAATGCAGTCCAGGAGAACAAGCAGCAGCAGAAAAGCCACTCACCCATCTGGCTGGTGCCCAGGACACAGAGCACTCTTCAGTGATGGGCAGAGTAGGAGCTCCACGAATGCACACGGAGTATTGCATGTCCAGAATGGTGTGCTAGGAGAGCCCAAGAAGGCAGCCCAACAGCAGTGCACCAGGGTGCCTGGAAAAGGCGAGGGATGCTTACATTTTTAAAAGACACATAGACACTACCCCCCAATGCCCCCTGTCACTTCGGGCACACATTCCACATTCTTCTGGCCACTTTCTGAAGCAGCTCTGGACCTCTCTCCCTCTCTCTCTCTCTCTCTCTCTCTCTCTCTCTCTCTCTCTCTCTCTCTCTCTCGGTGGATGTTTTAATTGCACTGTTGTGGCTGCCTTGGTATACTGAATCCAAAACGTTTCATTAGGGCTGGGAACTTAACTCAGTTGTTCTGGTGCCTGCCTCACAAGCGCAAGGTCCCGAGTTCGATCCCTGGTAACTTTTCGTTTTCACGGCCGTTCTGACTTTGGGGAAGAACCAGGAGTCACACGGAGCCAGATCCGGTGAATAATTTGGGTGAGGACCCTGTGTTTTAGAGCCTGCCTTTCCTTTGGGTGGCACTGGGCAGCAGCATTCAAGGTATTTTTTTTATCACCTCTCCTAAAGATGCTCACGGAAGAGGACTTTCAGAACTGCTTCGAAGAGAGGCGGGAGTATTTTGAGGGAGATTAATAACCATGTGCCTTTTATTGTAACAATTTTTTTATTTAAATGAAAACCTTTAAAAACAAAAACAAAAACCAGACCCTGCTTTGGTCCGGTGACACGAGGGCAGCATTTCCCCCTTCCACAGGGGGAGGACACTGAGGCCCAGGAAGGCCCGGCCCGACCTCCCAGCGCGCTCCATAGCCAGAAGCGGCCGCGCTCTCGGGCGTTGTCTGGGGATCGGGGTCCCCCTGCTGGCAGGACCCAAGCCGGGCGAACCGCTCAGCTCAGCTCGGCCCCGCTGCGCTCGGATGAGGAGGAGGAGGAGGAGCCCGGAGTGCACCAACCCGGGGCTGGACAGGGCGGAGCAGACAGCTGCCTGCGCCGTCTCCTGGCCCCGGAGCCGCTCCAGGACTCCCCGCAGAGCTCAAAGCCAAAGTGCCTGCGCCTGGGGGTGCCGGGCAGACCGGACACCCGAACGGTGGGAGTCTCTGGCCCCAAGCCACCCACAGCGCTACCCCATCTCTTGTCTCCAGGCGAAATCTCAATCTGCAACCCCGGGAGGGGAGCTTTCTCTCACCTGCCCGGATCTCTAGAGGAAAGGCTTTCACTGCCCGCTCTGCAGCTGCTCTCGGCCCTGACAGTGAGAGGCGGGCACCGACCCACCCAGCTCTGGTATCCCTGGGGCCGGCTCAGCGGGCACCGACCCTGTGGTTCAGCCTCCTCAGAGACGCGTCCCCAGTGCTGGGCGTGTGGGCGTCGGGTCTCACTTCTGCCCCTTCTCAGCGTGGGGTGTGCGCGCTGTCAACCCAGAGGCCTCTGTTTTATCTGTAAAATGCAAATAACATTTCCCAAATAGGCTGTTGGGAGGATTCGGTGGTTTAAAATCAATAGCACTGAGGGTTTGCTAGCTATTGATGAAAATCATGACAGATTTCATAGTTCTGACCTTTCCCACACCCGTACTTAACTAAAGAGAAACGGTAACCAGGTAGGAGCTCTGGACATGTGCTTGAGATGACCTGGTCACCTCCTTGTGCTCCACCCCGTCTGCAAGGGGAGGGGTGGCAGCTGCTTCTCTCTCCTGCCCATGCCCTGACCCAGCCAAAGGCCTGGCACAGCTGCTGGAGTCGCCCAGATGCCTTGGGTTTAGGGCCAGGTAGGGGACAGCTGGGGCTGGGAGCAGGGGCCGGCAGAAGGGAAGCACCCTTTTCTCTGTGTCCTGCGCCTTGCAGCTTCCTGAGCCTCTCAGGGCAGCCGGGACGGAGTCCATCCTGCCCTGCTGCACGGAGGGAGACCCTTGTCCTCTGGGCTGGACCCACCGTCCCCACCCTTGC